TAGTGATTCCTCCCCATCCCACTGTATGTTAATATGACTAAGAAAAGTTTAAATGTAAAAGGGAAGGGGAACAATAAAACATTATCAAATAAACCATTATGCCTCAGGAAAAATATCTGAGTAAGAGGTTATCTGCAATTGCCAGTAGAAAAAAAAAAAAACTCTGATAAATATGTGGAGAATAAGAGTCCCTTGGGTGTGTGTGTGTGTGTGTGTGTGTGTGTGTGTGTGTGTTTATATCATCTTATACAAGGAGATAAACATAGCTTTATAGCACCTTATAACTGGATTAAATGACAAGAAAATGAAAAAGAAAAGAAAACCTCAAATCTCCCCAGAGGCAGCCTGCCAGCCAGAAAATGTCAAAAGATGGCCACCACTGTCACCTCACATAACAACAGAAAACTGTATCTTTCTTTTATGAATAGACCTGTAGTAATGGAAGTGGGTTAGAATTATAGTCAAGAAATTGCTGGAAAATCTTCAGCAAAATTGCTGGAAAGTTGCAGGAAAATCTTCATAAAGATTTGCTACCATTTTCACTTGCATGAACAAAAAAAAAAAAAAGAGAGAGAGGGAGAAAACTCCTTAAAGGAAAAAAAAAACATGATTCTATGGAACAAGACTTAAAATGATTTAAGACTGGCGGAAAACTTTCAGACATCAATATGTGACTGTTCAGTATCAGTGATGCCAATTTGTAGATGTTTTGCCAAACTGCTGCCAGTAATCACTGAGGAATTACAGAAAATGGGAGACGGTAGTGTCATCCAGGGCTCGCAGTGGGAGACAGAAACATTTTCAGCAAGCAGAGATTTAATACATTAAATTGGTGCCTGTAAAATCATTGCAAGTCCTGGAGAAGTGGGCTTTAGTCTGTCTTTCCCAAAGGACTCCCAGGCACTGGATAGCTAAGACATCAGGGAAGACCCCACCTCTGAATATTCTAGAACCACTGAGTTTCAAGAACATATGATCGTAACTGACTTTAGAGAATCCTTAAGCTGGAACTGTTCATCTATCATTGCTTCTGTCACTGATCCATATTGCTGGGGTCCAGGAACTGCAACTTTGTTTCTTGTCTGCTGCCTCTGCCTTAACTTCTCTTCTCAGCCTGAAATCTGGAGAATGACACAAATTACTTCTTTGGAAGAAAACCTCACATCTCCTCCAGAGTCACCCTGCCAGCCAGGAATGACAGAAGATGACCACCACCCTCACCTCTGCTTTATAAACCTCTCATGGAGCATCTTCAGGAACTTGTTGGAATCCAGAGTGCTAGCTGGTTTATATAATCTGGAGATTTCTACATTTAACTCTGAAGTCTCTTTAATACTTCAGAGGGAAGAAAGAGGTTGTAAAAGAAGTCTGCTGAGCATGACATGGATCAGAAATGATACCTTCTTACCCTTTAAGAAAAAAATACAGTCATCAGTGGGAATAAAGATTCTAACAAATTATATAGAAAAATTATACCTGATTGCTTTTTAAAGTGGGAAGTCAAAGAATTGTGTGGTCCTCATGAATCTATATTTTAACAAGGATTTCTACCCAATCTTTTATGATATTATAGGGCAAACTTGACAAATGTGATCAAGATGGTGGAGCAGTTGAATGGATTTGTAATTAGTAGAAAGACCAGAAATTGCTAATTAGTAGATGTATGTCTAATTGTCACATACGCTGTAGGAATTTGTACTTTATTCTGCCCTGTATTATGTAATAAATACAATAAGGACAATGATTTTAAAAACAGCATTAGTCATTTACTGAGTGAGCATTATAAATAGGTAACTCATTTACTCTTGACAACAGTCTTGTCAGGCTACTCTTATCTCCATTTTAAATGTGAGGAAACTGATGTCAAAAACATAAAAACTTTTCATAACTATATTTAGAAAGAAGCAGAACTGAGATTCATACCTAAAATTGCTGCAAAGTAGAGGTAGCAGAGGAAGGGAGAACGCCAGAACATTTCTCAGAGGAACTAGGAACCTGCCAGCCAGGAAATCTCAAAGGGTAGCATTTCCTTAGTTAGTCTCTATGAGGCAGGGGGTTGGTTGGTCCACTGTCTTGCAGGACCAGGTCAGTATCTCAGGGACTTGAACCCACATTGATAAGCCTCACATTATAAAACCAGATATTGATTTATTAAATTAAAATAAATATGAAAGCCAAGCTGACCAAATAGGGGCAATATTTATGCATGCAGCCCTCTCAAGGAGAGTCTGTTGAATAGAATGTTGAATGATGGGGGTAGAATCAACCCAAGGAGACCCTGATCAGAATGCTAATTGACTGTTGTCTCTGACAATTGCAATAAGAATGCATCCATCTTCTTGGATCACTGGATCGACTGTTTAAGCATTGCCATAGTTGTCTGACTTCCGACTCCTTTATATGCCTTCATTGCTGTCATTCTTTTTTTTAAATTAAGATATAATAATGATTTTAACTGTGTTGTTTTGGGCATAAGATTCAGTCTTTATCTTTAATATGACTGATCAATTTTTTGCTGATAGCAATTACTTAACTTTGGGAAGTAGTATATTTTTAAGTCTTCTGTTGTTGTGCATCCTGTATAAGATGCATATCCACATGATTTTTTCCTTTGCCTGTGCTGCCATTGGTAGATTAAAAAGAACTGCAAATTGGTGCAGCCAATATGGAAAGCAGTATGGAGATTTCTTGGAAAATTGGGAATGGAACAACCATTTGACCCAGCTATCCCTCTCCTCAGTCTATACCCAAAGGATTTAAAAAACAGCATGCAACAGGGACACAGCCACATCAATGTTTATAGCAGCACAATTCACAATAGCTAAACTGTGGAACCAACCTAGATGCCCTTCAGTAGATGAATGGATTAACAAAATGTGGCATATATACATAATGGAATATTACTCAGCAATAAAAGAGAATAAAATCATGGCATTTGCAGGTAAATGGATGGAATTAGAGAAGATAATGCTAAGTGAAGTTAGCCAATCCCCCCAAACCAAATGCCAAATGTTTTCTCTGATATGAGGCTGATTCATAGTGGGATAGGGAGCCAAAGCATGGGAGGAATAGATGAACTCTAGATAGGGCAGATGGGTTGGAAGGGAAAAAGGGGGCATGAGGTTACAAATGATAGTGGAATGTGATGGACATTATTATCCAAAATACAGGTATGAAGACACGAATTGGTATGAATATACTTTGTATACAATCAGAGATATGAAAAATTGTGCTCTATATGTGTAATAAGAATTGTAATGCATTCTGCTGTCATATATGAATAAAAAATTAATAAAAAACACAAGTGTTAAAACTAAAGGACTAGGGGTGACAATATGCAGTAGCAGCACAAGTTTTTAAAAAGATGATATTTTTTAGTGAATGTAGACTTACTGTGAGTCAATAATTTGTGATGTTATTCTCAAGGAAGCCACAACAGACCGGTACATTAACTATGTCAGAACGGAACTGATGAATGAATGAGGATATGAAAGTATGGAGGATTTGATAATTCTACCCTAATCTTCAGTAATACTGCATGCCTATAGCAACCATGTTTTATTTAGTTCATAGTCCACATTTTAGGATAATATTGACAGACTGGAATATATTCAAAAGAAACTGACCAGATGGTGATAGAACTGGAAACCACATTCTAACAAGTGGTGATCGGAAATCATCATGTTTAGATTAATAAGAAAAAGACTTGGGAAAATAATAAAGCTAAGACTTATGAACTGCTCACTTCATGATAAACATAGTGCTCAGTCCTTTAATAGATTTCAAACATTAAGGTCTATCACACTAAAAAGGGAATGCTCATTTTGAGTTGCACTAGAATGCAAAGGAAACCAGAGAGATTCATCTCTGCTTATTAGAATGATGGCATTTCTATTCTCAAAGTTGTCCAATAACTAAGTGAGATGACTTGGTACTAATGAGTTTTGTTTATGAAAGTTTACAAGCAGAGACAGATCCAACTTTTGTTGGAGATATTTAATAGAGAAATGAATATTTAATGGTTGCCTGGACCAGATGAACTCCAAGATTTTGTTCAACCTTATCCTGTGGGTCTGTCATTATCTCATAGTACAGTAGTACCTCCACTTTTGTCTTTTAGTTCAGTAGCATAAGCTCTAAATGGTAATGTTATTTCTAATTCAACAGGTCAGTTTTAGGGGATCCTGATTTCTGCCACAAAGACAAACCCCAGCAAAATTTAAAGTTGCAGGGATGGAAAACAAACATTTTGTGAATGCGTTATTAGGAATAGTTGCAGGAAGAGCCTCTTTCTCTTTCTCATTTGACCTTCAGACCTATGTATTCTTAGTATGAAAGAAACATTTGTTTACATCGCTAAGTGATGATTTATTTCATTGAGTGTTTTATTTGTGGTTCTGAAACCTCTTCTGATTGCATATCTTATTTTGAGCTTTGTTATTTTTAACAAGTGCACTTTGATCATTAACCAACCCATGCTTTCATGACAACTAGTGTTATACCTTAAAAACTCATTCCTATGACTGGGAAAAGAATGAATGTTTGATTATTTTAAATAATAACCAAAGAACCTATGGGACTTTATAGCAAGAATATACCTAAATGTAATATGTTAATGAGACGTTCAAGCTGAGAAAGATGAAATAACTTGCCATGGTCACATGGCCGATGGGAAATGTAAACAATTTTACTACTTTTCCTCTCATTCCTAACTCATCGATGCAATTATATAATGTATTTTTCCAAGATACTATGCTTCCTTCTCCTCTTCATCTTCTTCCTCTTCCTCCTCCTCCTCTTTGTTTTCTATTTTTCCTCCTCCTCCTCCTTAATTTTCTAACAGTCACTCTTATCTTTATGAGTCTGATTAGCATGTGATCTGAGAAGATGGTATCTGAGTAGAATTCCAAAGTGTTATTTTTTTTACCCATACCCTTATTTAGGTAGAAATGCTAAGGCTCTTTTGTTCCTAATTTTGGATTGCTCTTGAATCTCTGCAGTGCTGCATATGATGCTGTCCTTGACAGAAATGTGGCCATTAAGAAGCTCAGCCGGCCATTTCAGAACCAAACACATGCCAAGAGAGCTTACCGGGAGCTGGTCCTCATGAAGTGTGTGAACCATAAAAATGTGAGTTTCCTAATTATTTTCAAACTATCAGTGATAGGAAACTGTGATATTGGGGAAGAAAATAAGAACCAACTTGAGTAGGAAAGGCCTTCTTTACTTTCCAGTTTCTGCCTCTTAGAATTGTTTATCTCAACCATATGCTACACTTGATTTTGTTATCCTCGTGGTAGCTTCCTGCTTAAAATATCACCTAAAAGCCATATGGCAAGGAGGAGATGAACTTGATAGATATGTCCCTGTTATAAAATTAACCTTATTTGGTTATCTTGCTTCTAATTAACCAGAAAGCTTCGTATTTTCCAAAAAGTAAAACAAAATGCCAAAACAAACAAAAACACACCCCAAAGCCTACAGAAGGATAAACTAAATTTCTTTATATTTAAATTTAATTATTAACCGCTGAAGTTTTACTAGTTGTGTTTTCTCCTTTGTGTTTTAGCTATAGCTTCGCAGTGGCCTCTTTAGTGTACACACTGTATGTTGGCATCTTGTTTTCTTAGGGTTGGGCAAACAGGCTTGTACATATTTCCAAAGTACTTTGGAATGGGATTATCAAGAACATGTTCTCTTGGGGCTGGGATTGTGGCTCAGTGGTAGAGCGCTCCCCTAGCACGGGCTGGACCCGTGTTCGATTCTCAACACCACATAAAAATAAAGGCATTGTGTTATGTCCATCTACAAAAAAGATTAATTCTCTCTCTCTCTCTCTCTTTAAAAAAATAACAAAAAACATGTTCTCATTGGAATTCATCAGGGTAGACCCAAAATAGGATTGTTTTCCTCAGTGTCTAAGCTTCTTCAATTCCAGGAGAAGGCCTATAGAACTTTTCCTGCTCCATTTTCTTCTTTGTAAGGAGAAATAATTTATTATTTTTATAGAGTATTCTTAGTAATTTAATATAATACATTTATTAATATTACTATATTAATTATAAGTATATAATTAAATAAATTATTAAAAATAAAATGATGATAGCTATCAAAAATCCCTACAAAGTTTTTAAATATAAAAATCATACAGAATATAAAATTATTAGTGTAGTTTATAAAGAAGGGTTCTTGTTATGTAGCTAACCATCTATTACTAGTGGTCCTAAGAATAAGCAAATGTTTGGCTAAAAGATGTTTAAAATACAATTAATGTAGACTCAGGCTCAATGACAGTGTTTCTCTTTTCCTCTATTACTCCACTGCAGTGACTTTTAAGTCAGGTTATTTGTTTTCATGCTGTTGAGTTGTTTGAGACCAATGACATTTTAATTCGGTCATTTGCCATGTATTTGTTGAATGAACAAAATGTGCCAGACACAAATCTAGATGCTAAGAATATGTCTGGAAGCAAATGGAGATAAATCCTTCCCATGTGGGCTTAGATTCTACTAATGAGAGAAAGGCAGTCCACAAAATAGATAAGTAAACCTGTGAATGTCAGAGGGTGACATTACTTAATTTAAGTAAAATAATGCAAAGAAGAAAGATAAAAATGTTGGTTAGTGCAGGGTGAGGTAGGGTTATTTTTTTAAGTAGGTTGAACAGGGTAATCCTCACTAAGAAAGAAAAATTTTATGAAATATGTGCTCATCATTGATATGGCCATTCGAGGAATATGAGACTTCTAGAAGGAATATATAAATGAAAGGAAAAAAGGATTCCTAAGGAAAACCACTATAGTAAAGTGATTTTTTTTTCTCTTAAGATATTAAGTAAAGGTAGAGATAAGATTCACCACTTGGCAACGTATTTTATGGTAATAAAGAGTATGAAATGGAAGATGGAGGCATATAAGCAATGAAGAAACTATACAAAAAGTCTTGCATATGTGTATTTCTCTTTCCCTAGTCTTCCATCCAGATCCTATAATGCAATACATTGTGGAGAAGTGCCCAATTACTTGGCCAATTTGAGGAAAATATACCCTGAATGTGTCCCTCAAAGGTTACATGGTAGAAGCTTAGTTTCCAGTGTGGGGATGTGAAAGGAGATGGGAATTTTAACAAGTGGGATCCAAAGGGATGTCTGTAGGTCCTTGGTGGATCTACCTTCAGAATGAATTAAGGTAGTTCTCATGGGACCCCTTGCCTTTCACAAGACCAAGTTGTAAGAGTGAATCCAACCCCCAAATCACTCTCAGACTTCCTGTTTCAAGATGTGATATCTTCCTCCCACACATACCATCTGCCATGAGGTACTCTCTAGAGGTAAACAGATGCTGGCCTCAAGCTCTTGATGCTGCAGAATTATGAGCTAAAAAAAAACTCTTCTCCTTATAAAGTTAGTCTGCCTCAGATATTTTTATAGGAACAAAAAACAGACTACTGCACAATGATAATTTGTAAATAGCATCCTACCTGCTCTTTATGTGTGTAAGTATATATGCATGCATGTATACCAAATTTCATTAATAGGAAATTCATTTATATCCAATGGTAAATTCTCAATTAGAACTTGTAATACTAAGGAAAAGGCAATTAGAATATAGAGCTTTTGTTAATGCTGTTGAAAGTAAAGGAAAAGCAATGAAGAAACTCTATTTGGTCTCTAATAGTGAATAAAATTCATTTAGAAAACAAATATTCAATTTTAGGAAGTGAATTCTTGTGATTGTGGGACCATGGAAACTTTGATTCATATCTCTGCTTCACAAGATGCTGAGATGAAAGAACTGAGTAAGAAACCTGTTGGAAACTGTTAAACTAAACCAGAATACCTGTGATGATCACTTTATAAGAAAAAAATTTTTAAATTGGTTATTAGGGGGTATTAAAATTTATAAAGAAGTGATCATCTATAGAAATAACAGGCAGGAATATCTAATAGGGAAGTCAGAGTAGGCAAAGGTTATAAAACAAGGATATATGAAATGGGAAAGTAAGACTAGACAATAAGGAATAGACTTTGAAAATTGACTTTTTAAAATAATAAATCTTTGTTTATTTAAAATCACAATGCTATTTCTTAGACTAATTTAAATTAACTATATTTTATTGTTCATCAGATAATGGGGGTTAGCATGTTTCCATACTTAATGGGTTTTGTGTGAATGTGTGCCCTATGTTTGTTTAAACAAATATCAAAATGAAATAAGTTATTTTATGAGATTGGTGAAGTACTAGAGAAAGAGGCCCATTATAGATTTTCAAATTAAATATCTATTACATAAACATTTTTCAACACTTACTACAATTAAGTATGCAAAATTAGTGGACAATTTAATTTTAAGTGTTAAAGATATTTTGAAATAATTTTGATCTAAGTGTGTTTTTTTAAAGAGAGAGAGAGAGAGAGAGAGAGAGAATTTTTTAATATTTACTTTTTAGTTTTCGGCAGACACAACATCTTTATTTGTATGTGGTGCTGAGGATCGAACCCATGCCAGGCGAGCGCCCTACTACTTGAGCCACATCCCCAGCCCCAAGTGTGTTTTTAATATTGTAAAGTTGCTTTAGGAAATATATTCTCAGTTTTCTTTTTTTGTATGTTATACCATTGTCATATATATATATATATATATATATATATATATATACTAGAAAATATTGAATGGTATTGTGATTTTCTTCTCATTAATTTCCCAACAAATTAAAGAATTTCATAAAAGTGACTGCATTTCTCTGGTGTTTAAAATCATTTGTTTTAGTTTTTAATTACTTGGTGTGTTTCATATATTTCTGTACCTTTTATGAAGTTTACTAAAAGTCATTTATTTATGGTTTCAAGCTGTTTTAATCATGAACTTGTACTTCTCCAGTTTTTATAAACTGTAACTACATTGTAAGTAGAAGATTCTTATTTACATATTTTGTTTTAATTTTCCTCTGGCACATTAATATAGAATATTTAGATGAAGAATGTACATAATTGTGTGGAACCATGATATGCACATAGTTGTGTGGAACCATGATAAAGGTTTTTAAAATTTACTTATTCTAAAAGGTAAAATTTTAATTAACTAATTAACAAAGTAATTAAAGCAAGAAACAAAAAGTTTAGAACTAACTTAGGGAACTTTAAAATATATTTTTCCACTAAATTCATAGCTGATAGTATCTAAGATGTATCTCTCCCCACATATATTAAGGCATTAGTCTAAGTTATATTTGAGTGTGAGAAAGAAATAAAAGACACTATGGTAGCGATAAAAAAAAATCTTGAATTAAGGCACCACTTTGTACATGTGGAGGAAAAATATCACCTTGATATATCTTATTGAGTGTTTCACTATTGTCTTTCTCCTCTCATATGATTTTATCTCCTTTTTAAAAAATAATCTGATAGCTCTGTGTCCTACCATGGAGAATCACACTAAAGCAGGATAACAGTTATATGTCTTTTCTGACTTTTCCTGCTGCCTCATAACCCGAGCTTTTTAACTGCATCATTAACCTAAAGGAAAAGATCACGTGTCTTTTCTAAATATATGTTCTGTATTATATGAGAAAGTCTAGAAATTTTCCACACTTTTCTATTTCTACCAAAGGTCCAGTAAGTACCTTTCAGTTGAATAAATATATAATCCACTATATAAATAAATAATCCACTCTTCTTTCTCTCTTTCCTCTGTCCCTTCCATGATTTCTTTTCCAGATTATTAGTTTATTAAATGTCTTCACACCCCAGAAAACGCTGGAGGAGTTCCAAGATGTGTAAGTAACAAAACTTATTAAGGAAGGGCAAAAAAAGCACTCCAATCATTAGGAAAAATGAGAGAAAGAGAGAGAGATATGAAATCTGTTGTAGAGATTCAAGGGAGGTGAGAGTTGGGATCAAATGAAATGTCCAAGTGAAAAGATAAAATCAGATTCTGTCTGTTCTGTTACTTCCTGAAAGATCTTTCTAGTCTATGGCTCTGTGTGCTTTATGCTTCATTGTTCTATGTTCTTGGTTCAATGAGGAAAGGCTTATTTATTTACTATTAATTGATTCTGTGAGCTTCCTAGGATGATTCAATTTATATTATTAATATTTCTATTTTAATAAAAGATCCTTATTCTTTATTTCTATTTTTGTGGTGCCTTTGATTTTATTCAAAAATTAATCTATTTAGAACTATAGCAACAATAAAGAGGAAAGGAAGTCATTCCCTACGCATTGTCTACTTTAACACACCTACATGGATTTACTGGAAGCACTTGTCCTGAAATTTTTTTTCTTATTTGTAATCATAATATTCAGGAAAGAGTTAAAGAAATACAGAGAAAAGAGAGAGCAAGATAAAAGTAGAATAAATTTGGGCATTAACTACACACTAATAGATGATGTTTCTATTAGTAACCTTCTATTAGAGTTACTACAGCTAAGACTCATGCAATACTGGAAACTTTTTCATATTCTTGCTTCAGTCAAAGGAAGAATTAGGACATTCAGAAAACTTACAGATTTAGTACAGGATTCTAATGTAACTAAAGGACTTTATAGATCTTGTGATTAGAACCAACCTTATGGATTTACCTTCTAGTTACTTAGTAATGGAACTGATGGATGCCAACTTGTGTCAGGTGATTCAGATGGAATTAGACCATGAGCGAATGTCTTACCTGCTATACCAAATGTTGTGTGGCATCAAGCATCTCCACTCTGCTGGGATTATTCACAGGGTAAGAATACCTTCTCTAAAGTCATAGTTAAGAGACATTTGAAAAGAAAAGAAACTTGGAGATTATTTTCTTTATGTTGTATTTGGTCAAATATAGTGTATTTGTACACTCCTTTATTAGTAGAATTAACACATAGTTCACTAATATGTAGAAGACACTTGTACTGAGGTCAAATTTTATTTTGTCAGCTCATTGATAGTCAGCTCCTGATAGGCCTTATGCCTTCTAGCTCTTTGATTGACAGAGGTCATATGTGTAGCTGAAATAAGACAGTTCATTTCCACAGTTCATTTCTGGAAGCATAAAATCAGTTATCCTGATTTGTTCCTGTTGGGCCTAGAAATGAAATATATACCAAAAGTTTTAGGTTGCCTGGAGGAAAAACCTAAGAGATGACAATAAATGATATGCTTTTTTCCCCCTAAAACTTCTTCCCAGGATAAGCTTAAATTGTAAAAATGATAATACAGTTCTCTTTGGGATTTAAACAATTTTAAAGAATATCTGAGGACAGTTTTTAAAATCCAGAACTAATTGTGAACTTCTGTGTAACAGTAACATATGCCTTTTAGAGGGCTCTGCAGTCAAGAAGGACCCTCTTAGTGCAGTTGTAACACTGCCATGTTGATGGAGTAGGTGAAAATTACAAGTTCTATTGGATGCTGGCTTTTAATTTCTTCCCTTGTTCCTATTGTCAGGATTTAAAACCAAGTAACATTGTAGTCAAGTCTGATTGCACATTGAAAATCCTTGACTTTGGACTGGCCAGGACAGCAGGCACAAGCTTCATGATGACCCCTTATGTGGTGACACGTTATTACAGAGCCCCTGAGGTCATCCTGGGAATGGGCTACAAGGAGAACGGTAGGGATGCTTTTCAACTGTGAAGAAAATGGGTGCATGCTTTGGATAGCCAGGAATATGAATTTTTCAAAAATAGAACTGCCAGCTTTCATATTCAGAGCTTACTTTTTAAAAAATTACTACTAGGAAGAATCACTCATTACAAATGTGAAGGATGCTTTGATAGAAGATCACTGAAGTGTTAGAGCTAAAAAGAATTATAAATGGAGTCTGATTAAACAATCAAATAAATACTGATTAGCATGTATGCTATAGATATTGAGAAAAATTGCTATTTGTGTTGATGCTAGGTTCAGACTGAATGTGAAAACAGGAAGAATGCTATTTAATTTTACTATTTGGCTTTTGTGTCATATCTTAGATTCATGATTCCAGTCCTAGGCAAAGATCAACAAAAAGATCCTTGCAGTGAGATTCTTCATAAGCACTAAATAGTCAAGTTGGAATAATCCACACACATTATTCAAGTTGGATAACAGTTTCTTAAATACTTTAAAATGCTCTGTAATTAATTTTATGATAGCAGTTGCCTAGTAAATTTTTTATAAATCCCAGATATCACAGAAAGGAAAATATTAAATTTTATAGTACTAACCAGGTGGAGCAGCACAGCTCCCCTGGAGGCTGAGGAAGAAGGACTGCAAATTTGAGGCCAACATTAGCAATTCAGTGAGACCTTGTCACACAGTAAAATATATAAAGGGCTGGGGTGCAGCTCAGTGGTAGAGTGCTCCTGGATTTAATCTCTAGTACCACAAACACATACACAAAATACATTACCATTGGGCTTGGGATGTAGCTCAGCTGGTAGTGCTTGCTTTGCATGCACAAGGCCCTGGGCTCAATCCCCAGTATCACACACACACACACATACAAAGTACATTACCGTTTTCATGAAAAACATCTAGTATACATGAACACTTTAAGTTTATATAAAGACTAAAGTATATTCAAATTGGATTTTCATTGACTAAAATTAAGGATGTATAAAATACCTGTTATAAGGCCTTGTGATATATTATTTTGATGAGAATATCTGTTTCAAGGAATAGCTTATTAAAATATATTTACTAAAAAATTAAAATAGCTTAAATTTAGGTTTGTATATATACGTACTCAATGTGCCTTTTATACCTGTTTTTATATTCTACTCTATTTTCTTCCCAGAAGTCTATTTTTATGAATATTATATGAATAATTATTGTATTTTTATGTACAGGTGCTACAGGGCACTTTTAGGAAACTCCCTGGACATGGAAGTTTTAAAAAAAACTTTGTGTACCTTCAGATTAGAAGAAAGTCAATGCTGTATGCATTTTTACAGAAGGTGAAAAGTCAGCTCTTAAGAAGGTCAGGCTCACCGTGGTGGCCAGTGTCAGAGTTCTGGTACCTTTTGACTCAGAAGAGGTGAATGGAGCCTCTCCCAAGGAACTCTGTCACATACGATTGTCACAATTTATTTTTTAAAACTTGAAGGGGGAACCAATTAAAGGAAACTTAAGAACCAAGGGCTATTGCTAACAATAATTCATATATTTCAAAATAGCTAAAAGAGGATTTTGAGTATTCCTAACACAAAGAATTGATAAGTGTTTGAGGTGATGGATATGCTAATTACCCTGATTTTATCAGTACACATTATATACATGTATCAAATATTACATCATATCATACCCTGCCTCATAAATATGAGTAAATAATATGTGTCATAAAAAATTAAGAATGTATAGGGGGGTTGGGGTCTAAAATTTGCCTGTTGTGGCTTTTCAGATCTTTGCCATGCAGACAATTGGTATTCAACCCCTTTTCCTTTGCTCACTAGAAAGGGCTGAAAATTATTGCCTTTGTTTTTTGGCTTCCTTAGGAGCATGGAGAAGGTGTTCCTTGTACCTTTGGTCTGTCCTCCCTCTGAGCAGAGGAAGGTTATCATGCAGAAAAACCTGCTTGCTCCCGCATCAGGCATGCCTAGCTGTCCTGTGCACCTTACCCTGCCTTCCTTCCCCACCGAGCAATTCAGCATAATGTTTTTGCCCCAAAATTTCCTTTGTCCTTAATAAAAGGCGAGTTGGAAGAGTGTTAAGGTTGGTAAGAGAAGGCTAACTGTGAAGTATGTTCAGCTAACAAGTAGGACGACTGGCAAATTTATGGTCTCAGCAAATTTTAACACCATTAATACCTTTAATTTCAATTTACTTCTAGATGACTCTTCATACACATGTATTCATCAGATATTATTTTTCTTAAAACATTTCAAATAGAAATTAAAACTGATATTTATTTTGAATGATAATTTCTGGAGGAAAGAAACTGTCTCAACTACCAAGAAATTCCAATTCTACTACCTGTAAAGTATGGTTCCAACCATTTCCTAGTTTGTTGAATTTCGTTGAATTATTATTTTGAACCCAAACCATATAACTGGGTAGAATAGGAAAGGGAAACAGCCATCCTTACAGGTTGATTTTTTTTTTTCATCCAACAAATGATATTCAAACCCTCTTGCTGACTGTAAGCTGTCATCTGCCATGGAGAACTTTTGGTTTAGCTTTGTGCCAGTAAGAGGCATTCTTGGGCATTCATAAAGTAATTTTTAAAACTAATTTGAGTTCTTGTACTAGACGCTTTATATAATCGTGTAGTGCTGTTTTTAATTCACCCTTTGGTCAGCTTTTGGCAGGAGGTGAAATTTGTACCTTCTAATCAAACTGTTCTTTTTCCTCTTCCTTCAGAGGTCAATTATCTTAGTTAACTTTACTTTCCTCCCTTTTCTTCACTTCCCTCTCTCTCCTGTTCTAGTGGATATATGGTCTGTGGGATGCATTATGGGAGAAATGGTTCGCCACAAAATCCTCTTTCCAGGAAGGGACTGTATCCTTGTACCTTTTGCTGCAGCTTTACCTGTTTTGTTTTCTCTCCCTTTAAACACGTAATGATTTTACCAGGCGAGTAAAGATAGAAGCAAAAAGTTGGGTAAGTGGTGTAATCGTAATTTTAAAAAAGTGATAATTTCTATAATCTGACCAGTCCTGTAAACTATCTACCACAATGATTTATTTTAATTAAATTTTCAATAAGCTTTTTTCTTCTTAAATTACTTCCTTGCCTGCAATTCAATACAGCAATGCTATTTTTTTTTATAAATAAGAGATGCCACCAGATCCAAATGATTAAAATATAGCTACTTATAATTAGCAAAAAACCTCACTATTTGCAAGTAATTTTTTATCTCCCTTCTAAAATTATTTTATACTTAGACATAATGATTTCTCTCCTTGCTGACATCCTGAGCTTCTGTCTTTGGCTTTATTGATTTGAATTACTCTTGACACTGTATCCAGTCTTAAAATAGGTCAATATAGCATATCTGCCTCAAAACACGAGCTTCTATATTTAAAAAATCACAATTGTTATTCAGATTGTCAGAGGTCAAGTGTGTGTAAAATAGGCTCCTCTCATTTAACTTGATGATGTGACATAAAAATTGATAATCGCTTTACCCACCAAATTTGGAATTTTACAAAGAAGTGGGAATTTGAATTCTATCACTGGGTCTTGTAGTACTTTCCACCAGAAATTTCTTAGGAGATTTCTGTGAGCTGAAATTACTAATTCAGCAGGCATGTATCTTAAACTACCAAAAGTTCACTCGAAAAATGTTACACATTGTGTATGTAATATATGAATAATAAAATTTACATACTAGCAGGAGAATATACTTTCATAAATGCAAAAATACCTTGATAAAGAACACTAGTGTAAATCTAAGACAGTGATAATGGACAAATTTTAACAATCATAATGCAGGGCAAATTCATTATATTTACTACATATATATTTTTGTGTAAATTAATGATAAGAAAAGTGGGCCATATAACTCTGGCAATCATTCAATTTGATTCAGAAAGTTCTATAAAGGAATATTTTTATATAAAAAAAAATTTATAATTTTTCAGTAGAAAAAAAGAGCAATAATACAAAAAAAAAAAAAAACCAAAAACCTAACTCAATGGGAAGTTGTTATCACAATCAGCATGCATGAATATACATCAATGCATTTATTAATTCTGCTAGACATTGGTGTAATATAATGATATTCTAGCCCTTTACTGTCCAATAGAGGGCCACTAACTACAGATTGCTGATACAACACTTGAAATTGTAGTCTAAATTGACATATGTTATATGTATAAAAAGTACACCACTTTTAAGATATAAAAAACATGTAAAACATCTCATTAATAATTTTATACTGATTGGAATAAAATGATAATATTTTGATCATATTAGGCTAAATAACATACATTGTTAAAATTACCTTCATTTAGCCAGGCACAGTGGTGCACACCTGTAATCCCAGCGACCTGGGAGTCAGAGTTAGGAGGATTATAAATTCAAAGCCAGCCTCAGAGATTTAGTGAGGCACTTAGTAATTCAGCAAGACCCTGTCTCTAAATAAAATGCAAAGGAGAGCTGGGGATGTGGTCCAGTGTTTAAGTGCCCCTGGGTTCAATCCCCAACACAAAAATAAATAAATAAATAATAAATTAACTACATTTGTTTCTCCCTAATCTTTTAAATGTGAATATTAATAAACTTAAAGTAGCTATGTGCTTAAATTTGTGACTTATTTTTTGTTTTTGTTTTTTCCTCTCATATAGAATTGGTCTAGAACGCAAGATAACCACCTGGCAGCCTTTTATTTATAATCAATCTTATTCTTAAATCATCATTTGCTTCATGTTTCTTTATAGTGTAAAGTATCATTTCACACACATCAAATTTCACATGACTACTTTGAAAATTCATTTTATTTGATTTATTTATAGTTTGGAAATCCATTATATATAGTTGATTTGAACAATATTACAATCTACAGACACATTTATATGAACCAATCTTATTCAAAATTAGAAATCATTTTCTTTGTGCTTTTGCCTTTGGAGTGTATACATTTCAAAAAACCAAATAGAAAAAAAACTTTTCCATCAACACTCAGTGAA